TATATATATATATATATATATATATATATAAATTTAATATTTAATATATATATATCAAAAAGCTGAGAAATGCCAACTTAAAAGCAGGAGACAATATTATACAGCCGGTTAACGGCTACTACAGATCTGTTCTCTCTCTCTCTCTCTCTCTTTCTCTCTCTCTTCCAGCAAACTACTACTGAGTTTTAAAAGTTTTATTTCCTCCCCTGAGTTTGGGTCACATTTTATTTGAAAAATGTATAATAATGCTGTAGCCTTTTTTAAAAAACAAAAACAAAAAACAGAGCTGTTAATTAATGTCTATATGGTATGCCACTCTCTTGATAATTTTATTTGTCCATAAGAGCAAAAAAAACCACAGAAAAATAATTTTAAAGGGTTTTATTTTTGCATATTCTGTGAAATATTAGATTCCCAAACTGTTCCCTTCCTTTAGCTCCTGTAATCTCTAGCTAGAAAACTTCACTAACAGCCATGCTGATTAAGGACTGTAGGAGTTGGGATCCAAATATAAGAAGGCATCTTATGCAGGAAGACAGTTTTATAGTCCTCTTTTAAGAAACAAACCAACGAACCAATGACAAAAAAGTCATTCATTTGAATGGTATTAATTTATGTTGGTTCAGCTGACCATACCTTCAAAATATACAGGCAGCACAAATTTTATAACTATTATTCATGTACACACAATGCACACCCAAATCCACTTTCCCCCAGACATAATGTCTAGTATTTTATCCAAATAACTGTACACTTTGAAAATCCTTTTGACTGAAATAAAGTGAAAAACTAGTGAAGATGGTGTCGTTCATCTCTGCCTGCCTGTCAATGGTTTAGCAAATTTCTGTATTTGTGTCGTGGCTCCTTCCAGTGAAAACGCTTCTGAGTCAAACTTCTTATAAATATCTCATATGGTAACTATGGAGAACATTTTATACATGTTTGTACATTGGTATAAAATAGATGCCTTTTTCCTTGGTTAATCTTGGTTAAGTAAAGCCAGCCTTTATCTTCCTTCACTTTAAAGAGGCTGAGGGGTTGCGGGTAATATTTTTAGGGAGAGGGGCTGGGCATAAAATTGGGTAGGGCTACAAACTTCCATTTTTTTGAGGCAGATTGTAACCAGCAACATGAGCCAAGGAGGCAATTATTGAATACAGTACTAGAAGGAGTGGTATTGATTGCATCATTTGATTAAATTAACTTGGGGCAGGGATGTTATCCTGACTTCCTTTACACGTGAGAATGACGCTGTCATATACAGCCTTCCGTCCCCCCAAATGTCATAAGAACAAGCTCTCGGATGGATATTTATTTATATATTTATTTAAGAAGATTTGAGTCATACTTTTCTCTGACCCGAAGAGCAACTTAAAATACGAGACATCCTAAAAAAGAGATGATGTGCAATTGTCATCAGTTTCTTCTCCATTTCTAGGGACATCAGGGATGACCTCATAAGTCAGTTTTCCCCCTTGATAACTTGAATATCATTGTTATTTGAATCTGCTTGGGGGGGGGGGGTCACTTGGAGGCATACTTAACATCCTGAATTTATTTGTCACGGTTAAGGGCATGAAAGAAAATTGAAATTTAGCTGAGCTATGAAACATCCGTGCTAAGTACCAAAGAAACTGTGTTCCATACTTCCCCATGCCAAGACTGTGACATTTCTTTTGTCCAAATCTTTTCTTTTTCAAACCCTCGAATACCTTTTTTTTTCCCCATGAAAAGAGCTTCTCATCTAAACTTTGTTTCAAATTCAGTATGGAATCCAAACCCCCCAAAGATTTGAACTTAATTGTATTGTATCATAATGGGGGGGGGGGAGCTTTCTTGGTCTAAATAGGATGACTTAAATGTATTGCCCCTTTTCTCCCAAATGATCTGGGAGTGAATAAGAAAGAAACGGTTACAACTGAGACATGGTTTAAATGTCCCAATTTCCTTGGATATATGTGCTTTTGAATTTAATTGCAACATGTTCATCTTGGACACATTATAGACACTGAATGGGATGTCACTAGAGAAACACTGGGGAGGTGAAGTTGATGTTCTGTGGCTAAACATATTGCTATTTGTACAATAAGAGAGAGAGGAACATTAGCCTTAGTTTTAATTTCACTTCCAGATTACTTTTTAAAACAATATTATTTTCGTTTGGCTGAAGGAATGTGAATATAGAACTCCACAAGTTTCAAAATTGTAGACTTCACATATTCAAGTGAATGGGCCCCCATGGACCCATTTATCTTCTCTGGAACCATATGGTGGTGCTTTGATAGTATGTTCTAGGATGATTTTTCCTCCAGTTTAACCTGCAGCTCTGCATTTTGGGGAGCATTTCCTTCTAAGGCTGTGTAATGGGATGTGGGAATGACCTTGGGAGACAGACAGGGCAAAGATCGCAGCCAAGGGAATGGTCAGAAAAGAGACTGCATAGGCCACAGCTGGATAGTGGGTGGGGCAAGAGGCTCAGAAGGGACCCTCCCTAGTTTCTGGCCATGTTTCCTGTCTTGTCTACCTAGTAAGGCTGACATCAATCTTGCAAGTCTGAAACTATAATTCTCCCCCTTCCCCAATCTCCTTTATAGCCTGAGAAACTAGGGAGGGTCCTTTCTGAGCCTCTTGCCCAGCCCACTATCCAGCTGCGGGATCTGCTGTCCCTTATCTGACCGTTCCCTTGGCTGCGTCTCTTTGCCCGTCTCCCAAGGTCATTCCCACATACCATTACAGCTGGCCAGCTGCTGTAAGCCTCACATGCTACCTCTATACAAACTGACCACCTTTGGACTCAATTCCTCACCTGCATCACGGGCCTGACCGTGAGAAGACTAAAGGATTCTTTGGAAGGGACAGGTGGAATTTCAGGGCCACGAAAAGCACCCAAACACTGAAAGTGCTGCAAAATAATACCTGGGAAAAATAAAGGGCAGGGATGAGCGAAGTTGAACAAGTTGAGTTGACTTTTTTTTGCCACAAGATGGCAGCATACCCACAAGCATGGAGATGCCACACTGGAGCAAAAATGGAAATATCTGGGGGGGGGGGGGTAGTCAATCAGCAAGAGTGACTTCAATTGTTGAAGGAGTGGCACTCCTAAAATATACTGCTGAAACGAAGGGAGATGTAAGAATAATCAGACATGGATTTGTGGGTGTGTTGATGTCCTCCATACCTCACCACCTACCAGTTAGCTGCCTGGATTCACACTTTAATCCTAAATGCAGGTCTTGGGTACCGGGTTCCAGTTGATGGATTGCAGGTTCTGTAAAAATCAAAGTAACTCTCAGGAGCTGGAAATCTGCCCAGCCCTATCGTAGAACGATGGGTAATCCAAATATTCAACAATGGTGGTTACCAATTTAATTTCTGTTGCTTAATCGTTTGTTTTGCCTTCAGGGAATGGCAGGATTGTTGATCGCCTGAATGGACTGGAAGAGTTTTGGGTTTTCTTTTTCCCAGCTCAAAAGACGCAGCTTCAAAACTGGTTGGCTCTCTTAAAGCAATGCTAATCCTACTGTTGTTGCTGCTGCTGCTGCTGCTGCTGTTATTTCTGCCCATTAAATTTAAATGTGGCAAACTGGAATTCCAAAAGCAACTGTCAGTATTAATTTTGTTTCTATTTCTGTTAGAGATCACTTGATTCCCTTTCACATACTACTGGCATTTGTAGAATCATAGAATTGGAGGAAGTCAACTGAGCCATACAATCTGAGCCCTAACTTCACCCAGGAATACCTTCTAAAGCCACCTTATATTGATGGCTGTTCAGCCTGTTCTTGAACACATGCAGAGAAAGGAGCCCCCCCCCCCTTTCTTGGACATCGGTTCTGCTGCCTGATTGCTCTTAATGTTAAGAACTGGGTTTTTTAGCATTCAACTAGGTGTTTCCTTCTTATAATACAAAGCCTTGGTTAATTTCAGAAAATAAACAGGATTGACCTTGTATGGGGAACCAACTGGGAATTGCACTGCTGTAGGCAAGACTGGGAAGTTGAAATTATCTGAGAAGAAGACTGTGGCCAACGATTTTCACAACACTGCCAAGAAACTTTAGTGGATGCAGTCACCAGGTGCAGAACTCAGCTGAGGATGGCATTTCTTTAACTTCAGTCATTATTCTGTATCCTGCAGTCTGGGATGATACAGAACAGGACTTCTGTGGGAAACCTTTTCAAATGCTGGCTAAATGTAGCCAGTCTCCTGAGGATTTTGTTTCCATGCAGGACCTCCAAGTTCTGAAGAGGTGGTTGAACTTCAATCACTCCTCCAGACAGAATCTTCTTGACCGATTTGAGGCAGCAAAGGGAATGAGGAGCCTCCAGAGCGGTTTGAGGAAATTCAAAGGCAATTTGGAGATTGGGTGGACCTCTGGTTTCGCAGTTTTTCAGGAAGGCTTGGTTCCCAGTGCTGTCCTTCTTTGGACCTCCTTTTTGACATCTTTCATAAAGTGTAACGCCCAGCACGGAATCCTTGAGGTAGAAGTCTCAGTCTCTGCAGAATATGGTGGATTTTCTCTGCAGAAACAGAGCCGTGATCAGTAGCAGACCCCCATTTAGTCCCATTTAGTAAGTCATACTAAATGGAATACCTGACATCCCCTCCAGGGTATCTTAAGACACAAGTTGCTAACCAGATCCACAACAGACCTAGTAAATGCATCTGCATGACATGCTAAACTTGCTTAGTTTTAACCTCTGTCAGGGGTTTTTTTTTGCTTGGTATGTTGTGGGAACACAGCCCACTTAATTTATTGTACAATATAAAGTCATTGAAGATCTGCTGGCTGCATTTACAAAACATGCTAAGCTTGGTTAGTATTAAACTTGGTTAGTTTGGGGGGTTGTTTGTTTTGTTTTTTTGATGGCTCAGCATGTTGTCCATTTCATTGGTTGATGGTTCGGTGCATTGTCCTAACCCAGAAAATAGATGAATTCTATACAGTAATCAAATGAAGTGTCTTGTCTGAATATGGCCACTG